CCAGGCCGACGGTCCGCGGCCGCCCCGCCGCTTGCCAGGGCCTGGCCTGCAGGGAAGAAAGGTATACCTCCCAAAAGGGTATCGATCGACGACGAAGAGGGCGGGTATCGAGGGTTTGGGAAATACGCGTTGCTTGACACTCGAGCATTTAACGGCGAACAGACTCAAACTAAATATTATTCTTGTTGTTGTTGTTGTTGTAATCCGGGGGCCGAGAACACAGTTTGAGCCCCGTGATTTTCCCTGGTGAAGAAACAGGATGCGAGCCCCGGTGGACGACGCACTTCAATTGAAACGCACAATCGCCACCGGAGGGGGGATCAACACTTTGTTTTTCAGTAATGAGAGTTCCACAACACCAGCAACACCACCACCAACACCAATAATACGTTTAAGACTGTTCGCTCTTATCAACTCATGTGCAAATCGGTACGTATATCCCAATCCTTCGGTGCCCGCCTTCGTCTTCGATCGTACCCCCTTGGGGGTATATTTTCTTTACGTGCCACGTAAATCCAGCGCAGCCCCTAAAACAAGGTAAGAGGGGACGGGTGGAAAAGGGGGAGGGGAAATAATGGAGCACGAGAGAAATTAACAGGAGCGGGGCAAAGAGCAGAAAACAAATGGTTGAACCAGACGAGCAAATTCGGGTGGGTTGGCTCATAGCGGGCAGGTCGGGAAAGCGGGTCCAGGCGACCAGGTCGAGCAGGCGGGTTGCTGAAGCGTGGGTTCTGCATGAATCGCACGGATTTCTCGAGTGGTAGCGCGATTCCCAAGTAAATCGTAGAAAAGCCAAAGCGAGAGCGTGATTCCTGAGCGCCGAGGGCGCATCGTCTCAATAAGTTGCGAGGAAGTCCGACGCGAGAGCGCAATGCGTACATGAAATGTGGGGGAATCCCGCGCGAGAACGCGATATTGGGAGTACATTGTGAGGAAGTCTCCGACGGGAGCCGTTGTTGTTGTTGTTGTAATTCGTGGGCCAGGGCCCAGTGTGAGCGTAGTGATTTTCCCGGATAACCAAACATGGTGCGAATCCAGGGGAAGCACGTCATGTGAACAAAAACGCAATGGTCACCAGAGGGGGGATCAACGGTAATTGCTCTTCAGTATTGAGAGTTCAACAACATCAACAATCATTTTCAGACTGCTCGCTCTAAGTGGCACGCGTGTTTTGCATTCTGAATGCCCCAACCCTCGATACCCGCCCATGTCGTCTTCGATCGCACCCCTGTCTGGGAAAATATCTTTCTTGTCGGCCAGTGACTGAAGTGGGAGGAACTCTCGAGCGAGAGCGCCGTTCTTGAGTTCGGAGGCTTCCCTGGCCAGGCCAGGGGCTATCGGAAAACAGATGGACAAATATGGAATGGGAGCTGTTGTCGCCGAGCTTTGGCCTCAACCAATTTGATTGAGTTGCGAGAAAATTAGAACCGAGAGCGCCATTCTTGAGTTCGGGGGCCTTTCTTGCAAGGGCCTCTGCAAATCCATCTGGAGGAATATAGAACGAAAGCCCTTGTCGTCGTAGTTGGGCTTCCACCAATTTCGTTGAATCGCGAGACAACCTCGAGCGAGAGCGCCGTTCCTGAGTTCGGGGGGCCTTCCTGGTCAGGGGCTCCTGGAGTAAATCGTGAGGACGTATCGAGCAGGAACCCTTGTCGTCGTGGCTGGGCCTCCACCAAGTTGAATGACTTGCGAAGAAGTCTCGAGCGAGAGCGCCGTTCCTGAGTTCGGGGGCTCCTCTGGCTAGGGTAGGGTGTCTCGGTAGATTGTGAGGAAGTGTCGAGCGGGAACCGTTGTCGTTGTAGCCGGGCCTCCCAGGGCACACTTTTACACTCAAGCCAACTCTCGCGAGGGAGCCTCGCTTTCAGAGAAATGTAGCTGGCGTCGAGGCGCGAGCGCGCGGAACCGTTTCCGGATACCAGCAATAATTACCCTCTAGGAATGAGCACTCAGCAACAATATCAACACCATCATCACCAACAACAACACCAACAGCAACAGCACCGACAACAACAACAACAACACCATCAACAACAGCAGCAACAACAGCACCAGCAATTACAGGCGACGACGACAACAACAGCATCAACAACACCAGCAACAACCATCATTGTAAGACTGTTCGCTACTATTTGCTCGCCAAACCCTCGGTGCCTGTCTTCTTCGTCTTTGATCGTACCCCCTTGGCGGCATATCTTGCGTACGATGACACGTGCATTCAGTGCAGACGCTTCCTCAGGGGAAGCGGAAACGAAGGGAATGGGGAGGGAGAAGGAAAGCTGGATCACGAGAGAAATTTGCAGTATGGGGGGCTAGGATCAGAAAACACGTGGTATAACCAGACGAGCAGATCGGGTGGGTAAACCCTAGCGGGCAGGTCTGGAAGGCCGACCCAGGCGGCCAAATCGAGCGGGCAGGTTGTTGAAGCATAAATGGAGCGATTCCCAAGTCAGTCGTTAGAACAGCCAAAGCGAAAGCGTGATTTTGAGTGACGAGGGCGAGGCGTCTGAATAAATTGCAACGGCGTCCCACGCGAGAGCGCGAAGTTGCGGGGAAGTCCCGCGCAAAAGCGTAATTTTGGAATCTAATGAGGAAGTAGGAGGCTGGGTTGTTGTTGTTGTAGCTGGGAGAGCCAGGGGCACAGTTTGAGCATGGAGACTTGCTGTGAACAATATTTGGTGCAAGCCCCGATGGGGGGCATTTCGATGGAAAAGCGCTATGTGCTCTGGTGGGGGGATCGGCATTCATCATCAATCTTCAAGAATGGCAGATCGGGCGGGCAGACCCACAGCGGGCGGGCCAGGAAGGCGGGACCAGGCGACCAGATCGAGCTGGCGGGTTGCTGAAGCGTGGGTCTTGCATGAATCGAGAGGAAGTCTCGAGCGATCGCGCGATTCCCAAGTAAATCGTGAGAAAGGAAAGCGAGAGCGTGATTCCTGAGCGCCAACGGCGCATAGTCTGAGTAAATTGTGTGGAAGGCCCACGCGAGAGCGATACCCCTAAATAAATTATGAGGCAGTCCCGCACGAGAGCGCGAACCTTCAATACATTGTGAGGAAGTATCGGGCGGGAACAGTTCTTGTTGTAACTCGGGGCCGGGGGCGCAGTTCGACGCTCAAGACTTTCCCTTGAAAAAGCCGGTTGCGAGCCGCGGGAGGGGCACTACGATTGGAAAAATACATGTGCACCAGGGGGGGGGATTAACCATATTTTTTCAGGAAGGAGAATTGAACATTCAGCGACAGCCACGCACCCAGGGACAGGGAATGACCGTTCGCCCCCCCCGCACTCGGATGTTGGCCCAGTGTGCGTGTTCCCCCTGCTCAGCTCCACCGCTGGCACGCAGGCCGCGTCGTGCGGAGCGGCTCCGGTGGGCGAGGATCCGTGGGCGCCAGCGCACGTCGTGATGATCATCGCCCCCCTGACATCTCGGGGGTGGACAGACCTCCTACCCTGACACGTCGATTAAGGAATTGGCCGTTTCCGGTTCGCGAGAGGGCGTCGCGGCCATCATTTTTGCGGGTTCAGGTCCGTCGGTTTCGGTCCCAGGCCGTTTTCATTAAGGGGAGGTCTACTAAAGGGAGGTTTGTCCACCGCCGAACATCGGCTTTCCCAGGAGCTGGAGGCGGCCGTGCCCTCGGGGACCCTGGCGGCCCGGCTGGAGGAGGGCCCCGAGGCGGCGGCGTTCTCGGTGTCCGTCGGCGGCGCCGCCGGCGGTCAGGACTCGGGGCTCTGCTGGTGTGGGGCGGTGAGGGGGGATGGGCGGCGCGTCGAGCCCTGGGCCGCCGGTCTCCCGGGGCAGGAGGCGGAGGCGGAGGAGGAGGAGGAGGAGGAGGAGGAGGAGGAGGAGGAGGAGGAGGATCGCAGACGGTCGAGGAGGAAAGATATCGAAGCCGATAGAGGGGACGGGAGGGTGGAGGGGGTGGAGGAAGCGGAAGAGGAGCTTCCTTCCTCCTTTTGTTCCCCTTTCTCCCTCTTTCCTCTTCCCACCTTTTTCTCCATACTCCCTCCATGCCCCCGACCTTTTTTCCTCTCCTTACTCCTGCTCCTTTGCCCTTCGTCCTCGTCGTCGTTGTCGTCGCCGTCGTCGTCGTCGTCGTCGTCGTCGTCGTCGTCGTCGTCGTCGTCGTCTACGTCGTCTGCGTCGTCGTCGTCGTTCTTCTCCTCCTCCCTCCCTCCCTGCCTCCGTCCCTCCCTCCCTCCCACTCTCCCTGCGTCCCTCCCTCCCTGCCTCCCTGTCTCCCTGCCTCCCTGCCTCCCTCCCTCACTCCCTCACTCCCTCACTCCCTCACTCCCTCCTGCCTCCTAATCCATTCTCATTCCAGCCTCCTCCTTCCCCCTTCCCCTCGGGACTCTCCCCCTCAGGACCTGGACGACTGCGTGGCGCGCGTGCTGATCGCGGCCGCGTCGGGCCAGGCCCCCGCAGCGCTGGATGCGCTGGACCCGGAGCTGCCGAGGGTGAATAATCATCATCAAGAATTGGCGGCGAGCGAGGGAAGGTTTGGAAGTTTCAGGTTCGAGGTTCACGAGTTTCTGGCGTTTTCGTTGGTTCTCGGCGGTTTCCTGGCCTCGGGATGCGTTCCAGCAGATGCGCCTCGCTGAGAGCGTTCCGGGGGTGCCTGGATCGTCCCGAACGGCCGCCAGAGACCCGAGTTATCACCCGAACACCAAGCTCGGCGGCGAGCCCGGTGGGAAGCGAGAAGGGGCGGGCCCTTTCAGAAGGCTTGGAAGTGCCCCGGCCTTCTGAGAAGTTGTCTAAGCCTTCCCCGAAGACACAGAAAACTTCTCTGAAGGCGCGGGGGCTTCTGAGAAGCTCCGCATGCTGCTGAGAAGGCCTTCTCCTGTTCATTTCCCCCCCTCGCTCGCCGCCGAAAGAAGCAGCGCGTCCACCTGCTGCTCCTGCTCCCTACACCTGATGCTGCTGCTGCTCCTCCTGTCGCTGCGCTGCTCTTCCGTTGCTCCTTCTGCTCCTCGTCCTGATCCCTCCTCCTGCATCTTTCCTTGTCTCCTTCCTTGGCCTACTCAGCTCCTTCCTCCTCGTTTTCGTTATCCTCCTCTTGTTGTTGCTGTGTGCAAGCGTTTGGTATGTTTGAGAGGCCCGTCGTGTCTGTTCCCATTCTTTTCTTCCTCTCGCGAGGTAGAGCGGAACGCCACGCAGCGGAGTATATTGCACCACCACCACACGCCCAGCGCGCAGGGAGTGATGAAGAGGAGCGATACATATATATATATATATATATAGAGAGAGAGAGAGCGATACGTACATACATTTATATACACATAGGTATATGTTTACGTACATGTACATGTATGCGTACTATGTATACTTACATGTATATGTCTATGTTTATGCATATGTATATGTATATGTGTTTGTATATTCATATGTATATGTATATGTAGATGTAAGCGCATCGGTATATGTATACGTATGTGTATATTCATATATATATATATGTATATATATGCATATGCACATGTCTATGTCCATGCACACACATATATAATATTGTTTTTTCATATATGCATATATATACACATTCATATGCATATATTGCATGTATATGTTTATGCATACGTATACGTATGCATTTGCATATGCAAATTTATAGGTAGTGTATAGGTTTTTGTTTTTGTTTTTGTAGTTGTATTTGTATGTTTGTATGTGTATATATGTATAGGTGTACGTGTATGTGTATGTGCATGTGCATGTGCATGCGCATGTGTATGTGTAGGTGTATGTGTATGTGTATGTGCATGTGTGCATGTATGCATGGATGCATGCATGTATGTATGTATGTATGTATGTATGTATGTATGTATGCATGTCTGCATGGCTGTCTGTCTGCGTGTATGTATGTATGTATGTATGTATGTATGTATGTATGTATGTATGTATGTATGTATGTATGTATGTATGTATGTATCATGCATGCATGCATGGAATTATGTTTGTATATACACATAGTTATGCATATGTATATGCTCATCGCGGCCTCCCGATGCGCGCCTGTTCGGTGCGTGTCCCTCCGCCGCTTCCTGGAAGAGGCCTCCGTGTCGGATTTGGTGTTTTGCTCTTCGTTTCAAATCCTGTTTTGCTCCGGTACGTTCTTTCCGCGTCGTGCACGTGGGCGGGCCGAGTCCGCTCGCCAGGGCGGGCTTCGCCCGCCCGCGGGGAGCTTTGCCCCCCCGCGTGCAGCGCGGGAAAACGGTACCGGAGCAAAACTGGATTTGAAACGAAGGACGAAACCTTCTCTGAGTCAGTGTTGGTTTCGGTGCGAGGAGCTGTTGTTCAGAGAAGTGAAACCTGTCCCTTGGCTCAAGCATCTCGGCCTCAGGTCTGATTCGCATCGACACTTCCGATTGCCGCCGCAGAGCCATGCAGCTCGTCGCCGCCGTCGTCCTCTTCGGCCTGGCCACCGCCAACAACGTCATGAGCCCGTATGCCAAAAAGTATTTGGACATCAAGGCCATGTGCGCAGAGTGCGACGACGCAGCGCCCCTCGACGACGAGAAGGACGGCTGCGACCGCAAGGGCTGCGACCGCCAGGAGCCGTCCATCATGGGGAAGAGCACCCGCATGCACATGTGGACATGCCACAACGACGAGAACGAGGACTTCGAGCTCATCTTCGGCCGCGCCAAGAACAAGGCTGCGGGCCGCACTTCCAAGGACGACGCGGAGCTGTGCATCGACATCGAGGCCATGTGCGCGGACTGCTACCCGTCTGCAGACCTCAAGGGCGCAGCGAAAGGCTGCGACAGCAAGGGCTGCAAGCGCCAGACCTTGGACCAGATCAAGGCGGACGCCGAGGCTGGCGGCGAGGCGGAGATCCAGCTGTGGACCTGCCGCGACGACGCGTCCAATTCCAGCTTCTTCGGCAACCAGAAGTGGGACCTCTTGGGCAATGGCCTGTGGAAGAACGCGGGCGCAAGCCTGTGCCTGGTGGCCAACCACGACGACGCCGAGTCGGTGGCACCTTGGTGGCGCCTGGTGGTAGCTTGGTTGCACCTTGGCACCGTTGGTGGCGCCGACGCCACCAGCGGTGCCGAGGTGCACGTGCGCGAGTGCCCCTACGACTCCGCGGACGGCCTCGCCGAGTTCGTCTTCGACTTCGAGACTGGCGATCTGGCCGAGCAGTCGGGGGGCGGCGCGAGCGAGGGCCGTCGCCGCGCTCGTCGTGGCCAGTTCTCCGTCGGCGCCATGGCCGCCCCCTCCAGGGCGAGCTCCCGGGCGCCGCTGGTGGGCGCGGCGTCTGGCGCGCTGGCTCTCGCGGCCGCTGCCGCTGCTGCCGCCCGCCCCCGCTTCGGCGCCAGCGAGCGCGAGCTCCCGCTCGCGACGGCGGAGTGAGCGCGGCGTCGCGAGTCATGCGTGAAAGGGAGAGTTCCCTTTTTTGAAGAGACGGCGCCCCGCGTTCCTTCCTCCCCCCTCTCCTCCTGGAATCCATTGCCCCTGTGTTCTGAGGCAGTTGTATAGCAGGGGGCACAGAGGACAGAGTGGTTGCACAGTTTGGAGGAATTCTGATGTCAGCATGGGTCGGGCATGAAGTGTCTCGAGGAATGCCCGCGCGCCCGAATCGCGAGCGTATGATTATATGCGGACCGAGGACAGTTCGCTTCCCGTCGTCGTCCTCGCCCTTGCTCCGCCCCCCCCTTGCCCCCCCCCCTGGGCGGCGTCGAAAGCGCCCGCGGCTCGGGCGGGGAAGCGCCCCTTTCCACTTCCTTTATTATTCCTCGTTGCTCTTCGTCCCTGTTCACTGTCCGTCGTCGCGCCTCATCTTCCCTTCTTGTTCGACGAAGGTAAGGGAAGTCCCGGGTGCCGCGTGCCCGCGTCAGCTGTATGCCGGCCGTTCGATATCCGAGCACCGCGGCGCAACCACACAGAGGGGATTGCCCACGCGAGCGTTCGGGGCGCAATCCAAACGCGGGCGGCACGGCCGCCGAACACAGGCGCATCGCGAGCGTGTAATTGCACTGGTGCCTGCAGCAAGGTCCGCCCGCTTGCCAGCGCAAAAGTGTGTGTGGCGACGCGTGGGGCCTCGGTTGTTAAGAGGTCCATGACATGTGACACCTTTCGTCTTCTTGGACAGCTGTGCGGCCTTGTTTGGGGTTCTTCGGGCCCCCTTGGGGGCGTCTTCGGGCCGTCGGGGGCCGCTTTGGCACAGCATTTCGCCGCGGCCGCCCTGGGCCAGGGAAACGCGCATGTGCGGCTCCCTCGGGGGCGCGCTGGGCAGGGGAAGTAAGTATTTGCACCCCCCCTATCTGGGCGCGTCGACCTCGGTTCTGGGCTGGCAAATTCGGGGCGCGCTCGAGGTGGCGAGCATTTACCTTTTCGAAATGCACATATCAAGGTATGATATGTGTGCGCAGTTGGTGTCTTGAACGGTGTATTTTGCGCGCGCGCGTGTGTGTGTGTGTGTGTGTGTGTGTGTGTGTGTGTGTGTGTGTGCGTGTGTGTGTGTGTGTGTGTGTGTGTGTGTGTGTGTGTGTGTGTGTGTGTGTGTGTGTGTGTGTGTGTGTGTGTGTGTGTGTGTGTGTGTGGGGGTCCATTGTTTGCGCGGATCCTGGTTTGATCGGTGTGCGTAGATGTTGTTCCCATCTGTGTATTTGGAGCGTGCCCCTCGCGGGTGGTGTTGAGTGGGCGGGGGCGTTCACGTTTCTTTCTCGGCTGGTCCAGGGGGGGCGTCGCGCGCGGTCGAAATGCGCAGTTCTTGTCTCCAAGTGTGCATTTGTTGCGCGCCGCTCGCTGGAGTGGCCGCTGGGATTTCCGCGGATCCCCCGGCTGGTCCAGGGGGGGGCCGTGGTTTGGGAGAGCAGAGGCGCGGGGGGATGGGGATTGCGGGTTATGGGAGGGAAGGGGTTCGATGGGAGGGGTGGCGAAGGGGCCGGGGATGCGAAGGGGCAGGGCGAGAGGGGAACGAATGGGCCTAGGAGGAGCTGCATCATCGGCGTCAGCTTCACGAGGACGAGAGAGTCGGGGAGGGGCGGACGGAGGGGGGGTGATCTGCATTTGGGCGTAGAGGATGGGTGGAGCAGGCATGTGGACGATGGGGGGCCTCATCCGTCGGAGGAGGACGACGAGGAAAAATGTGAACTGGCGTGTGGGGGGGGGGGGCTGACAATGTGGATGGGGGGCATGATGAGGACTGGGGGTAGTCGGAGGGGCATGAAGTGTGTGGGGCAAAAACGAGGGATATTCGGGAGGAAACGGGGGATGGGGCATGAGAGTGCGGCGGGCGCCAGGTAACGCTTAGCTGATCAGTGTTCTGCGTGTCCGTGCGCCCCCCAGAACGCAGTGATCGTTTGCAGAACTTCATGGTCTGGGTAGGCGTGCGGCGTGCTTCCAGGCCAAAGATCGAGTCCACGGCGCTCTTTGGCGTCGCGTTGATGCCGCCCCGCTGTGCCAGACCGCGTGCGCACAGATTGGCATAATCTGTGTCCAACGTTTGTTTCATGACTCTCTCTGTAGTAACAAGCCCACTTTGGAATCCAACTCTCCTCCTCCTTCCCATCCCCGTTCCTCTCCCCCCTCCCTGCCTCTGCTCTCCGCGTGCCCGCCATTTCGGCGCGCCCTTCGCAGGAATCGTGGCGCCGCAGGGAGTTCCACCGAAGGCCTCAGCGGCGCAGGCTGCATGCGCCCGACGCCCATTTTGGCACACCCCTCACGCGGTTCGTTGCCCCATAGGGAGCTCCGCCCGAGGCCCCAGTGGCGCAGGTCGCATGCGCCCGACGCCCATTGCGGCGCACCCCTCGCGCGGTACGTGGCCCCATAGGGAGTTCCACAGGGAGTTCCACTGAAGGCCCATGTGGCGCAGGCCGCATGCGCCCGACGCCCATTTCGGCACACCCATCACGCGGTTCGTGGCCCCATGGGGAGTTCCACCGACTGCCCCAGTGGCACGCGCCGCGTGCGTCCGACGCCTTCATTTTGGCACACCTTTCGCGCGGATCGCGGCCCCATACGGAGTTCCACCGAAAACTCCAGTTGCTTTTGGTGCACTCTTCACACGGTTCGTGGCCCCATAAGGAGTTCCACCGAAAGCCCCAATGGCGCAGGCCGCGTGCGCCCGACGCCGTCATTTTGGTACACCCTTCCCACAGTTTGGCCCCGTAGGGAAGTCCACCGAAGGCTCCAGCGGCACAGGCTGCATGCGCCCGACACCCATTTTGGCGCACCCTTCGCGCGGTTCGTGGCCCCAATTGGAGCTCCGCCGAAAGCGGTACCCACAATGCTGTATTCACTTTTGCGCACGGTTGGGTCTTTCGCCAGGATAATTTGTTCGAGACTGTTCGGAGAATTTGGATAAGCTGGGTCCTCATCAGCATCACCATGTAAAATGTGGATTTCGTCAGTTGCGGCCAGTCGGGCAGGCAGCCAAAGAGAACCAGTTGCGGATTAGAACCGGGCAAGGCAGGCATGTAAAATGTGGATTTCGTCAGTTGCGGCCAGTCGGGCGTCAGTTGCGGCCAGTCGGGCATGCAGGCAGGCAACCAAAGTAACGCAACAGAAGAGAGAGGATGCGCAGGGAAGGCCAACAAACATCAAAATCCTGGTATGTTTCTTTTTTGTTTTGGCCCCGGGGGCCAAGGATTCGGGGGGTCCCGATTCCGGGGGGGGTCCTGGGTGATAGAAATATATGAATGGGAATATATCTTGGTGGGCGACGGCCATTGGAGAGGAAGCGTGTTGCCAAATTGTTCCCAGATGTCCAAAACATGTGTTGAACATTCCTTAAGCCTGTAAAAACATGTTTTGAGCATTTTCAGAATGTTGCAAACATGTTCAACACATGTTGAATTCGATGATAGGACTGTTAGCGTGTTCGCTGTCATGGCATCCGCAAATATGTCTTGCACATGCCGGAAACCCGGCCCCGGGCCTCCAGGGCCCCGGCATATCAGGGGCACCCAGACAACACCAATTGCCCCACGGGCTCCAGGAACGTTCCTGGGGCTTCCCTTGAGCTTCCCCGGGCGCCTCCGGGGCCTCCACCGCGAGGGCGCCGCCTGTTCCTGCAAAGGAAGGTGTGTGTGTGTGTGTGTGTGTGTGTGGTGTGTGTGTGTGTGTGTGCGCGTGCGCGGCCCGCTTGGCTCTTAACCGGAACAGGCTCGCTCTCAACCCGCATATCAAAAAGTGTGTGTGTGTGCGCGTGTGCAGTCGAGCATCTGATCAAGAAAACTCTTCCCGAGAAGCTGGGCCAGTGCTTTTCCGCCAGCTTGCCGGGAAGCTGGCCTAGTCTCTGGAGCGCCTTGGCCCCTCCAGCGTGAGCGGGAGAAATTGCTCCAGGCCTGTGTTCAGAAGCCTCCATTCACAAATCATCCCGTTCCTTGTGGGCAACGTGCACTTTTCGCATGTGGACTTTTTTGGCATGCAGGACGACCCAAGAGGCCCCCAAGATCGCTTCAAGACGGCCCAAGATGCCCCCAGGAGGGCCCCAAGACGGCCAATGAGGGTTTCAAGACGGCCCCAGAGGCGCCCAAGACGGCCCAACAACGCCCCAGGTGGGCCCCAACAGGGGCCCAAGAGGGGGAATTCGAACTGCAGGTTCGAGCTTCTCGCCCCAAGGGGATCCCAAGAGACCAAAACAAGGCCCCAGGACGCCCGCACGAGTCCCCCAGAGATCCCCCAACGGCCCCCAACAGGCCAGCCCAAGACGGTACAATTTCGACTCAAGAGGACCGACTACCTTCCCGAAGTGCTCCCGCACACAGGATGGCTTCAGGACATCCCTGGTGAGGCGGATATCAAACACCCAACGAGCTTGTGGAGTACCCCCCGTGATCTCGCAACAGAAGCTTCTGTGCTCGGTCCGCGCTGTTTGCGCCCTCAGACCAGGTTGACACCGTTCGTGGCTACTACCCACATGCAGGCACATGTGAGCTTGTCAGTGGCCGAGGCTTGCTAGAACCTCAGCGCGCGCGAAGCGCGCGCTTTTGGTTCTATATAATAAGCCTGGCGAGGGGGTTCCTGTGCCCAGGGGCGGCATACTTTTCCCAAACTCCCCCCCCCCCCCCGCCCGGCCCGCCCGTCGTCAAATTTTCGTCCCTGGAGCCAGAAGACCTTTTTGAGTCGTGCGGGTGGTTCTCTGGACTCGAAAATCTTCCCCGGCGACCCCACAGGACTCTCAGAGTTCGCTAAGACGGTTCCAAGACGGCCCAAAATGGTTGCAAAAGAGCCCAGGCCCCAACACGTCCCCAAGGCGGCCGAAGACGGCCCGAAGAGGATTCTGAGGTGCTTTCCAGGAAGCTTCCGAGAGCCCTAACCTGTGGACAAATGATTGGTTTTCGTGCAATTGTTGCATTCTCGCCCAGATTCTCGTAACAGCGTCCAAGACGGCTGACGTGGCCCCCTATTGCTGTTAAGGCGAACAAAGAAGCTCTCAAGAGGGCCCCCAGACTGCCCAGAGTCACCCTAAGAGGACCCAAGAGGCACCCAAGACGAGCCCAAGAAGCCCCGAGGAAGGCCCGATGACAGCCCAGATTACCCACGGAGGCATTCAAAA